TGCCGGTTCCTGTGTACATGTATTTTGACTTGTGGTCGGCCTTCCTGCTCCCAAGTCCCCACTTACCCTGCAGACGAAGCATTCGGGGTGCCACAGGGCATTGAGAGCAGAGATGTAGTTCTCCAGGATGGCCAGGTTGCACCCCTGGCAACGGGTGGAGAACAGCTCATAGAAGTCCTGCCGGCAATACTGCTTCCCGTCCTTCTCGTGAAAGCCTACAAGAGGAACCAAGTGGGCACCAACCAGCAAGTCAGCAAAACGGATGGAGCTCAGTGAGGACTTGCATAGCATAGATAAGTACAGAACAGATCAGCATTGAAAGAACCAGTTTCCCAACCTCCACCCCTCGTGACTACTAGTAACCCGAGAGGGGAAAGGATACAGTCAATTCTCATCCATTAGGTTTTCTCCCCTAAGGACAGTTGCGGTAGGGGAACCAAGAAGGACAGTCCATGGGGTGGAAGGACCCACCAGGTCTCCACCGCTCTCTCAGAGTGGCTTCTCCAGATAAAGTGGGAGTGCTTAACATGCAAGCTTAATCATGACCCTGTCCTGCCAGGTCAATTCTGACTTATGGTGACCCTTTTTCCAAGGTTTTCCAGGTAGAGAACACTCAGAATTGGTTTATCCTTCCCTTCTTTTGAGGGTGGCCTGGGACTTTGCTGCTTGCCCAAGGCTACATACGGCGGCTCTACTCTCAGGAGGCCTAGGTGGGGAATCGAACTCCCAACCTTTGACTCCACAGCCAGATACCTAAGCCACGGATCTATCCAGCCAGCACGTGCAAGCTTAAGAGGGTCTATAACGTTGTACTTTGCAACCAGATCTGGCGCCTCCAAAGTCTGAAACAAGCCAGCACTACAAGTGCATTTTCACACTGAAACAAGGTTCTTAAAGAGGATGTTTTCAAGGAGAAACGTACTTCTCAGAGGCTTCCAGGAACACCACTTTTCTCTAAAACAGAAGTGACTGATCACAAAATACGTTGTTTTCAGGGCCCAAAAGTGATCTGAGGGAACCGCAGGTGGGGTTTTCTTTCTGCCCAGTTCCTCTCTTTCTGTCAGGTCTCGGCTGAGGAGTGTAGCTTAGGGTGGGCTCCGGGGGCAGAACAGGGGAGGGGGCCCAGTGCCACCAGAAGTACCCACGCTATCCCCCTCCCGTAAAAGGTTCACCCGTGCAGGCAAATACAGGCACGCCTGCCTGTTTGCTGCTGTTCTTCCCACCTCACGGTGCCAGGGCTGAACACACCGAAGGCATGCAGGCTCACCTTCCTCCCCAAAAGGTCGCCCACACTTCACACAGCAGAAATGCTCCGGGTGCCAGTTCTTATCCAGTGCGGTCACCATTTTCTGAATGAGTCAAAGGGTAATTTGGGGGAAAGACAAAAAAGCAAAAATGAAAAACCACAAGCATATTTGAGCATGTCTAAGGAAAGACACCAAACAAGGCAAAAAGGAAGTAGCAATTTGCTGACCATGTGTAAAAGGGGGTGCCATGGTTGTGGGTATACTGCACTTTCCCCCTCTTCTCGCCCTTCTTCTCGCTTACAGCAGCTCTCTCTCTTGCTGGGTTTATGTCCTTCTGCTTGGCATTTTGTTTTCAGATCATGTTTTTTTTCCTGAGTTAGACTGCCTTCTCTGCAGTCTCTTCTAATATTTGTCAGGAGTACTATTTTTGACACCTTACAATGACTAG